TTGAGTGCTACCGCAAAATTAAGAAATATCGGAAAGTTCACCTGTCAAACAGATTTAAAATACTAGAAGCGAAATGGTATGGCACTCATGAAATGCATCGTGTTAACTGGCAGGTTGCTTTGCACCATACTCTCGAACAACACGATTCCGCTTGTGGGGATAATCAGCCACTTCGCGAGTTTTGTAAAATGGCCCACATTTACTGCACTAGGAATCTGTAATCTGTACCAGATGTGGCTACATTCCGATATATGTGATCTGCCAATAGAATTCAAAGGGTGCAACGTTATCTAGAATGACCCCACCTGTCAGAATCAGAATCATGTTAATGAAAAGTTCCTGATGCAAGCATTTAGAAACTGCGTTTGCGTGCCGTGAAAATTGAATCGCATGCTTATCGATGGGATTCAATCTACCAGTCTTCAGTGAACAACGACCGAGTATCAGTCCAGCACCATTTTATTCAATAATTGGTATTTCTGAATTCGCTATGAAATCCAAGTCAAAAATAACGTACCACATTGAAATATCAGTGGTGACCATCGCTGAAGATTTGGATAACTTAGATGTCTGTTCTCTAAAGTGTTCAGAACTGATGAATATTGTGAAGCACTTTACAAGAGAAAATGCACAGCCCGATTTTCCTTTGCCTATGACACCGATATTTTCTCCTCGAGAAAAGGCTCCTTGAATCAGCTTTGATCACCATTTCACCGAGGCTTGCCCTAAGACCCATTGCAAGTCATGCCACGTTATGCATACCCATTCTTATGGCTGTAGGATTTTCCGTAGGGAAGCAAACACTGAATCCGATACTGATGCAAGAAATGATTGTGACAACTGATTTTATACAGTTCTACAATCCTTGTGTCCCAATTTGTTGAAATCATCTATCAAGGTAGTTGAATTCCGACTTCGATATATTTTTCTCAGTAGAGTCCATTCACATCCGCTGCACTGGGTTTTCAACGCCTTATATGGAAACATTTAGGCAGCAGAAATAAGTTGCTTTTATGAGCAAAAATCATATATCAGCTAAGCAAACCACGCATTTGGGTCAATTTCAAATAGAAATTTGACAGACTGAATTCAGAAAGAAATCATGTAAGCTCAAATTATCTCAGATGTGAAACAGTGGGGAAAAGCTCTATTGTATGAGCTCTCCGTAACGGGTGAGTCAGAATAAACGATTATAGAAATCACTTAAGTCTTTTAACCACCTTTGATACTCAATAAAAAAGCTATTGCGATTCCTACTTAATCGGACCTTTGACGATACGTTGTACCGAATGCATCTGAACACCATCGCTCTCCGCTGGAGACCAGTTCCTACTACTGATATACCTAAAAAGTCAAAACGGTAAATTTCGCCCAATTGCATGCACCATGATTCTTCGGAAACCATTCAAAAAGCCCACACATCATCAGTTTCATTCGTGTTTGGTAAATGTATAGAATGTTGAAAATTCACTCACACTGATGAATAAAACCACGTTGTAACCTGATATTATGTGACCTCGTCTAGTCAATTGGTGTTGTCAAATCTGCAGCACTGGACAGATTTTGGAACATGAACACAGAAGTGATAGGCCTCACATCTTTGCACTACCTAATTGAAAGCGGTGCTCGATTAATTAGATCGCTCAGTTCTCTGTGGTCACTTCTTGTTCATGGGTGAAGCATAGAGAATTTCATCTCCTCATTAGGCCGCTGCATTCAAGTAGACCGTGGGATTCAGGTAAATTCAACTTCATTTGATTGCGGCAATCATTCAAACAAATCAATTAAGCAAATTTGTGTACTTTTGGGCAATTATCTCTTGTTTTTGTCCTAGTGCTCATTGTTTTGTTTCGTGAAATTGTTGATAGTGAACTTTTCCGGTTTGACAAACTTTGGACGCTGAAGTTAAAGAGAAGATATCTCCGGTAAATGAGTATCCAGTTCAAATGCACGCTTCTCTGGACGGCTGTGTCGACATATTTGGTATGGGTTTCGTACCTTCAACTGACAAGATGTTCTAACATGACTGTGTCAACTCAAAGCCAAAAACTCCGGTATTTGAGCGCCTATAATCCACGTTGATTTGTTCGGTTATCTGGGCTGCTGCATTTTATTGCATTTCGGATATCGCATGAGGAGCCTCCTCATGCACTGAATGTTCGTTTGACTTTTGATAACTGCAGTGATCTTTAGCTTACCCGTGATATTCGTTTCTGTCAACAGTTGAGTATACCCTGGAGCACGGCAATCTCAAGATTGTTCGTATTCAAACACCGATGTCTTTGGCGATTGTTAAGCCAATTTACAAATGTTTACAGACAAGTGTTTAACTTCTGATGATCCGACTGTAAGTCATCATATTGGAGTTCGATTACCGCGACTGAGAGGAAACCTTTGTGACAATGACCGAGCTGAGGGGCCATGGAAATTTCTGTTTTCTTCATTATAGTCAAAGCATCTGAAACTCATGTGCGCAAGATCATTGGCTCTTGTGTACTGCGAACGGATGACCCTGATTTGACCTTAAAGTAAGAGGTATGTGTACCAAATAAAACCACATGATTTACTAGCGAGGTAATCAATGATACCGTGATCGCTAGATCAATTTTAGTTATTCTTGGTTCTTTCTAACTTGCATATAATTGATCAATTTGCAAGCAAATCAGCCTATCTATTGGTTTAAAAGGTGTTAATTTATGAATGAAGTGAATGGTAGTTTTTGCCACACTTTGAAATATTTATAATATCCCAGCTTTTCTAAATATTTTTTTTTCATACTCCAAATGTATATGTGAAGAAAACAAATAAAATAACAAGTTCTATGCTTACTCATTGCAGTATATTTCCCTTTATAGTGCCATGTTTTATAAAACACCATTGGTAAGAAGAACGTAACAATGCGAATGCCTGTGTCGGGTCATATGTCCAGGAATTTGTACGGGGCTAATGAATTTCATAAGCACTACATACAGTCTACCGCTACCTAGTCTGAAGTGAATCTTTAATAAATTCAGTGGTCGAAACTTCCATTGTTCCCGGGGTGAACGAATATGAAAACGCGCAAGGTGTTTCCAAGTGTAACAAGTTGACAAATGTCCATGTCTATCCAACGCGAACGTAAGCCCTAAATTGGCTTTGAGGTAATGGATTATCAACTGGTCAACCTTTTAGAAAATGTTTCCCGAACTGTGATCATCCACAACCAGTTGCATCTTGGTTTTTCTACAGAAAAGTGCGAGAGAAAAGAGCTTTGTCTAATACGGTAATCAGTTTGTCTATCTCCATTCTTGCCCTTTACACTCACAGCAATGTTATCAATTTCTGCGCCCGCACAACCAGCATCTGGATTGAAGTTTTTGTTATTTTGGCTCTATCAGGTCAGATAGTTCCTGTGGTGGTTTACTGAGCAATCCTTGGCTTGAACTCCTTGATGTTTGGTAAACAAAGTGATAGCTGTTGTTTTCGTGTTCAATAGATCCATAGTATTTACCACGCCAATCAGGACAATGCTAGCTTCTTTTGTAATTTTACATGATTCGGAAAAATATGAGTTTGATGGTGTTCTCTCTCACTTGTCTATGGAACAGTGAAAAAATACACCAACAACCAAGACATTTTTCACTGCCCGACAATCAGAATAAACGTGAAGAGGCAATTCCACTCTTGTGCACGTAAAGAAATGGTCACCCGATTTACCCTACTGCCAGTCTGTTGACCACACAGTGAAAAATGCACAGCTAATTTTTGGTCGGGGGTCAAATCAATTTTAGTTAAAGCCCGGGAACAGTAGTTTCAAATAAAATACAATGACTGAATTAGAGTTGATGGAAACCAGATCCATCCCTATGATCATCGGCGAGTACCTGCCAGCGTTCTCAAAGTTGTTCTATGGAGATAGGTTACGTTCTTCTGTCGTTTTGCGGCATACGGCTTGCCCTACTCGTTCCCATAGTTTCAATACTTATTCTGCAAGCGAAAATTGTTTATATTCGTCAATTTTGATGCAATCAAATGTCATACGTCACACGAAATTCACCTCTTTCCATTTGTCAAAAAGGGGTTAGGGAAAGAGGGGATGAATCTAGCTTCAGGAAAATGTCATTGCACTTGAAATTTCCCCGAGTAAAGTTTGACTACTTGCTACCTTACTAAGTACATTATTCTCAGTTTTGCATGCAGTGCTCTTATGCGGATTTCTGTCGCTGTGAGTAACCAATGCAAATTCAGGGTACCAAACAAGGGGGATCCCTTCACTGGTGACGTTGTTCCTCATTCTTTCGCCCAGTGCACATGAATCGGACACATCACGGGACACAGGAGAAGGAAAATCTTGGATGTATTTCCACCCGTTTTCTTATTTCAACCACTAATCTATCTTCCCAGGCTTTTCACCTCTTTTCTGACAGGTTTTTATGGAATTTCTCTCCGCATCAAATAAGTTCCCATCCCTCTAATGGTCAGTGGTTGGTTGCTTCTAAACCAATGACATTTCGGGAACTCGAAAAACTAGTGTGTTATGTTTGAATAGCCGAAATGTCCTGTAATTTTGTGCTACGTTCATTTGGAGCCGTTCACTCGTCACTGGTGCTGTCACCATGTTAGCCAGTGTGCTTAAAGTTGCACTGTTTTCGATTTCTATGCAATACGGTATGTACGTTTTTGCTGCAATACAACTTCTCACTACAATCAAGTGCAATATTGCATGGTTCATATTCATGATCTCTGATTCTTCTCACCAAATGTGCTATTACTCAACTTTTCATAACCTTAATTCATAAGTAGTCATATTGAAATAGCGCTGTCAGGTCTATAGTTAGCTTGTGAGTCCATTTCAGCAGTATAGTATGTGAATCACAGTTATTATCCTCTGTTCATATGCCATTCAGTCACATTTCTATCCCATTAGACTATATGAGTGACTAAACAGATGACTCCATTTTAAACTGATTTTTTCGTCCTTCAAGTTTGTCATGCGTGAATATTTCCTCCCATACCTACAGTTGTTGAGGCAATTGTCTTCACCGAATCAGTTTATCACGTTACACTGAATCGAGCAACGAAGACACGTCGGCTGTCCGTCATCCATCTACAGTTAGACGACTTGGAGTCTTCGGGTGATGTACGGTTTTGGATTGGGGATGATTCTATCGGTTTTGATAAAATCTCGATTGATTCAAGAACTGGAGAAATAATATTGGATCCCACATTGCCTCCCATTTCAATTTCTGTCACCGTTCATGCGACACTCCAGTCAGGTTCTAAAAAATGTGATGCACATGCAGTAGTTCGCGTTCATGTGGTATGCTATATTGGCTCACATGTGTGGGACTCAGTACGCAGATTGTCTCACATGAACATGATGAGTCCGTTGGAGGTGAGTCAATCAGTCTAAATCACCAGTGAGTAAAAATCTAACCTAATTTCACGAACTATGAAGCCAACCGGATAAGTCGACGAATCTTCCAATTTATAAGTGGTTAATGGTTTCCATGACTAACTGGAGAAAAAAGCTGCAAATGCTGCAACGCTTGCCAGAGAAGTTCATATCATCATGAGCCGACAGACTTCCCGTTATGCTTATTTTTTTGGCATTTTTCTCAATGAACGGTACAAATTGAGATATATAAACTCTATATTTCGCTTTATTTTGCACTAATTCTTGACTGGCTTTAGTTATTTGTTCGGTTGTGAAAGATACATTTGGCAGAAAAGACTGGTCGGTAAGATCTGAGATGGTGAGTGTTGGTCAAATTGGATCACACTATACCAAATTGAGAATTTTTGTACCAAACTCGAGATTACATAACGTCCACGTCTAAATGACGTCTTCATAAAGTCTCCTTGAAAGTTAATACAAATGATTGTATTTAAGCACTTATTTGAAGATTGATCAGTATGACCATGAGTTCAAACATCACAGCAAATCCTAACAAAGCCGATAATTAAGATTATTAGGTTGTTGGGATTTTTACGGGAGGAATTCTAGTGTGACGTCAGGAATAAAACGATCACCACTTCTTTTGAATATTTATGCGAAATTCCTTCCCACCTAATTATGTGATCATATCAGGCTGTTTTCTGTTTTAAATTTGCTTTATATCATCAATATACCACTTTCCTAGCTGTGTCACTTTGACCTACGAGTGGCGGAAATCTATTCAGAAAAAGAGACGACAGACGACCAAAGTACTTACCAATCCATCCAACTCGTATATCGTATACACCTGAAAAATGTTGGATGTCTAACACAGACACGTTTGATCTGTGTTGCTGAAGAAGGTATCCGGCTTGAGAATGCAGATTTGGGCGAAATCGGATCTGGTATGGAGTGTCCAACTGATGTGAGCAGAAAAATGTAAGTGGAAAATAAATGGGTAGATATTATCTTATTTCGGTCGTATTTTCAACTTAAACCAGAAACAAATGTTGAAATATTTAAGTGTTTTAACCAGGGTTAGATGTGGCACGAAGCAACTTTATTACCATCATCGAGTGCCAAGTATTCCACGACGATTTCCCGTCGCATAATTCTTAGTCATACTCACTGGAACAATCAGAGAGCGAATAGCTCTTTGTGTGATCTGAATTGAGACGATGCAGTTAAATCACCTTGCTCTTGATATTTTTCTACCGTGTCAGATGACACAGTGAAGTACACGAGGGCAGGTTGACACTCCGGATATTTTCAGAGGTATTCCAACTACGTGCAAGCACATTGCAAGCTTTCCCATCTACAGTGACTGATAATGTCTCCCTTTATTCAGCAATATGTTAATTAAATTATCTCGTTCACTGCCTTGATTATATTGGCTCCCACCACTTAGAGGGGATATCATAGAAAAATCCGGTACCACATTTACACCGATCCAATAACTTCGGTTTAGTAATGGTAAACGGTAATTTTTTATTCAAAAGAAATGGTCGATTTTGTTCTCATTTAAGTCTCCCAAATGTCAGCAAGACTCGGAATGCATATATGAGCATTTCCGGACCAGAATTGTTTATCAGTATATTTTTGGGTATCCTAATCAACTATTTTATTTTTAAATTTGCCCAATGGAGATTAGGGGTTTCAACAAGGAATACCATAAACACACGAACCCAGTTGAACACGTTGCCCTGCATTTCCATTTGTGAAATGCGAATGTAACACTCTTTCAGTTTCAATTTATCCACCAAAGCTTGTAAAATATTCATGTTAGCAGCAATCCACACGTCAGCTATAAATAAACGCCAAATCAGATGCGGGCATAATCTTCCATTTTCAGGTTAGTCGCCAAAAACCGTGATCAACTGGAAGTATATTTGGCAGATTTATGTGCGGTCGGCGGACAAAGTAGTTGGGTGAGTTAACGAAAATGGGTGTTACCATTTTATGTGGGGAATATAATTCTCTCGGTAGCTATTTACATCGTTGTTTAGGAGAACGAAGTTGCAGTTCATAAAGAGCACACGTCACTGCTTAAAACAATGATGCTTCCTTATTCCACATTTGAACTTGCTTGCTAGAAAAATTGTTCGGAATGAGACGACTTGCTCTTTATTTCTTACTTTGTGTATTTTGGTGTGATGAGAAGTACATTTACGTTAGCGGATCTGAGTTCACAACGAAAATGAACTGTTTCTTTTCACGCCAGCACAAAGCATGGATGGCATCTGTTTAGGACAAATCTTCCCCAAAAACGTCCGTGCTTCCAACTGATTCGGTTGCATGGTGTACGGAAGTTGTATTTTTCACTCGCTACCACCACCTTTGAAGATATCCTGTCGAAAGAATACAGAATGCTTTTCAATTAATTTCCATCTTTCTCCAAGATTGCTATGTTGATCAACGTGACTACAGGGGGCATACAAACACGCTCTTCTCTGGAATGCACAATATCTACCGGGAATACTACAATTGAGAATTCTCGAATTTGGTACAATACGTCTGCAAACCATGATGGATCAGTGCGACAGAAGCGTGACGCACAAGGTGTAAGTAACACATACGACAAATCCCAAATAGTATTGTGACTCACCGTTGCGGACCATTTGGTTCAGCAACTGTGTTGAACGAACAGAGAATATCTTGAAAATTAGTTTACGGTAGATCTCGACGAAATTCGGCTGCTTTAGATGTTCCCATTATTGCAACTGGTGAACCGCATTTTTACGGTGTCAATAAGTCATGAGTTTATTTCCGGTCTTCCACGCCAATCAAGTTATTTATTTCGCACACGTAAAACGTTGTCAACCGATGAATGAAATGGACGTGATGCAAGCGTACGAAGTCTTTAACAAATTTGGATGCAAAGTAGAAACCCGTCACTGGGCCTCTGTTTGATCCCACTCTAAAATCTTCACCTCATCGACGACCACTTGCTACACTATCTGTCTCTGGTACAATTATAATTTTAAAGTAAGTGATCTCAAATCCGCTCAATTTATTTATAGCTTTTTTCCTTTGTAGGCACGACATTTTGCGATAAACTATCAACCCAAGCTGTTGTATAGAAGCTCTGCCATCATCCACGTACATCAACCTTTGCAGATTAAACGAAATGGAAGCCCCACTTCTAGTTTAACCTCATTTTCCGAAGTGGCCTTCACGTAATCATTCCTTCGGGGACATTCGTTTTTACAGAAACTAGGGCAACTAAACCTCTTTTCCTTTTCAAAGCATTACCATTCAATTTGAAGTTATTGAAAGTGACTTTATTTATTGCACCCAAATGCAGACGAACATGCAAATATAGTGCCACGCGGGTTTGTTGAGTTGACGTCCAGATATGGCAATACATTCATAATATATAAACCAGAGAGTGCAATTTAGACAAAACCGATATCGATGTCTGATCTACGTTCTAAAAACCAAGTTTTACACTCGTGAACTGAGCCAAATGTGTGCATTCACAGACTCGAACGTACCCAAACGGCAACGAAGTTTCTTATGATTTAAGGGTACCAAACCAAATGAGACAAGCCGATTTATCTAAATATGAACAAAATTTGGAAAATAATACGTCGGTGTATGTGAGCCACTCCGATATACTTATGGCATTTACCGACCAATGCTCTTCTCAGGTTGAACGAATTAAAACATGAACTCATTTTTGCTTATTGAAACATTGAAAACATCCGATGCCTCAGTGCAGTTTGTTGAGATTCGGAACCACGATAAATCAATTAGAGCAGCTCGATTTACTCCCCAAAATATCATATTCCTACAGTGTACACCAGGAAAACCAAACTTTACTTCGAGAAATTTTGAACACAGTTATTTCAACTGATCAGATTGATAAATATTCATCATTTTCCCCTTCAGATACAGATATCCATGTCCAATTTTACCAGAAATCTTCGTATGAACAAACCCGAGTCAACTAAAATCAAGATTTTCATTCCCTCGATGACGACAATACATGATTCTTCCCTTTCGGTTACGTGTCCAAAATCCGTCAACTCTAGTAAACCTCAATGCACGGTAAAAGTTGTCCGACTAACAAACGCGATGTTTGTGGATTTCAAAGCAAGTGTACAGAACTTTACTGAATTCAACACAATCCAGCAAAATAAAGTTAAGATCAATTTTATGGAAATCACATCTGAAGGTGAGGAAAACCCACATCTCGAATGAACGAGGTGTCTTTTTTCGTCTAGAACACATAAAGAAAAGGGATATAGTGTGATTTGCAATGCCTTTTATAATTTGTTTCAGTTGGATTCCCCAGCACATAAAAAATGTATCAGTTGTGTACTAAGTGCAAAAAACTAAAAAAATGTTTTTTATGCAAGAATATTACTAATTACTGTCTGCATAGAAGACGTTTGAGTAGAAAAAGAAAAACCATAAATTGCTATGGAGAACAGATGGTGCGAATTTGAGGGACTTGTTGTTTGATATGGGAGTTTAGAAGCGACCGAATTCAACACTTCGGGGTTCATTATCAGTATTGTATCAGGACACGAATTGAAGGATGCCATTGAAGAAGATACAATTGAGAATAAATATAACAGAAGTATATTCATCAAAATGTCTTGCTTGAAGTCACAAAACAAATTTACTATACCCACCACTTTATCAGGTCTTGTTACAATCATTTCTTCATTATTTTGTAACTCTCTTAGCTTTTTAATATGATCTGTTGTCAGTAAGCCTCTCAGTGTTGGTTTGGCCCCACTGTACTGGAAATTTGTATCACCAAGGTAGGTTTGCGATTTTCTAGTTCGGTTTGCAATGATGGAAGTGGATCACTCAATTCGGTATAGAAATTCTCGAATTATACTTCGGTACCCAGCTGTTTGATCTTATTCGTTGAGCATCAAAACTCAGCCCCAAAGATAATACTTCTAGCAGAAATTGGTCTAGCACGATGTTGGATAGGTTTTGTACAAATATTTCGGGATTTGATGGAGACTCACCAACAGGTTTTGATCTTCCAATACCTTTTTTCAGTGTTTTTCCTTTCTGATCCACTTGTTTGTGCACGATTGATTGGACATATTCAATGAATTTCTTTCTTTCGGTTAGTGTTAACTTATCAAGTACGCGGTAAGTTGACCCACAAGTCCATTCTAGATTCACGAAGTGGCTAGACACAGCATCACGCGCATTGAGAGTTTGACGCTGAAGCGACACAACATATATAAATCCGATTCCGTCTCAACATAGTTTCGTATTGTTTGGGAAAAACTGATTGATTGATACAGCCATCAAGAATCTGAACTTGAGTTCCCGCCGTGGCCAGTTTGGTAGAGAACTTATTATACTTATCAAGTTCCCCTAATACCACGAGGTCGTTGGCCTGTTTGAATGGTTCGAAAAATCCCTCAGTGCACATTTGGAAAACTCAGGTTGGTGAACAAGCTCGTTTTCAGTGATTCTTAATCATGCCAATGCAACAAAATTTATATGACTAGATGCATAAGGGATATGGTCAGCAAAAATCGTGTCAGGGATCATTGTTCACACCTAGTGTGGTACAGGATTATCCGGAGACCAGGTTTGAATGGACTAATACGTTCTCAACATGTAAGCTTTCGGACGTTCTTGGAATTGACGTTGGGTGGTGAGTGGGCCAGGGTAGACTGAGTGCAAGCATACATTTCTCCTTAGCACATAAAGGGGGTTTGTGGAGGCGAATCCCGACCGCCAGTAGGATGGAGCCGAACCAACAGTGAGAGGCTTACTGACAATAGGTCATACTAAAAAGCTAAGAGAGTTACAAAAGAATAAAGAAGTGATTAAAACAAGACCTGACAAGGGGGCGAGTATAGTGCTTATTTAAAATTCTAAACTTGTATATTGAAGATGAACTTCAGTTGGACTTCTGTAGCTCCCAGAAAAGCATTCTTTCTGGTCTCCAAACATCGGAATTCGTCGAAATATTAGAATAACAGGAAAAAAGTACCAACAGTTTGAGAGGACCTAATGTTTAGAATGAGTTAAACGTTGATGGACACAAGATAAACAGTTGACTATCACCATCAGCAAAATTGCAGTACACTGTCTTGTCGATGACTCAAAGCCTGCATGAATCTAGCTGATCAATTGCTCCACATTCGCTAGCAACGCATAAAAATATGCTGACTGTATTATCGTGATCTCCCTTGGCTGAACATGAGCAAATCCTTCGTTATCACGTGAACCGGGCAATTTAGGTTCTCAGTGAAGCTTCATCATATTGCTAAAAATAAAGCCCCTATCAATTCTCTTACTTCTTCTCTTCTTCTTCAGGTAAGAAAAGTGATCAGTCGTTACTGGAGATTATTGTGGAGATCGAAGTGAGGCTTACACATTGTGCAGAAGTTCAAACAAACACGAGCGTTGATATACAAATAGAGGGCAGATTTGAAGGAAACCAAATGAATGAAACATTATCAGTTGGCATTTTAAAAGAGCAACGACCGATCACCGAACTCCATCTTGTGATGCAGACCAATACTTTGGATGTGTTCCCAGGGTAAGCTGCACTGAAGACGCTTCGGTGACTTCCAGAGAACGTCCGCTCCTGGATGCACCATAAGGAAATGTGCAGAATTTCGTTTAACCAAACCTGCTTTCATTTTCCTTGGGTTTCAGATTGAGCAGAAAGGGAATTTTTTGTTTACTTGATTTGCGGAATATTATTACGGTAAAAGGAAATGATATTTGCTAGTAACCGACAATTTTCGGATCATTTCAAATTCGCCTTTGAGTGTATTTGGCAAAACACTGTTAAACAATGATATGCAGACACATACATTCGTCGTTGGCTGTCTGGCAGTCTTCAGAATAGATTTAATATCTTGAATGACAAAGTCTGATTGTTGCTCTATATGGCTACTCCCCAGTAGGAAACCTTTGATAAGACATAACGGCCTTTGAAAAAGGTTCCGCCTTGTGAGATTAAAAATATGCAACCCCATATGCTATCGCAAGACAATTTTCATCAAACTGACTTCCACCGAATACCGAAATAAACAGAAGCTCTAATGAAAACTGGCTTCTTTGAAGGATCATTTTTTCTGACCACTCTGCGCGTAATACGCATTCTGCGAACGGTTCCGTGTTCAAAAGAAACAAGAAAATGGATCATTCATTGTCTCACGGGTAGGAGTGAAATCCCTTTCCGGTGGAATATTCACAAGTCTACCACTTCGACGAAGTGGATTAGCTACATTCTTCATTATTGTCAAATATTTCAACGAGCGTTTCAATTCATTAGATCCTTTATTAGTCTGGCATATACATAGTAGTCTTCCGATTAGCAGACGAGAAGCTACCAACAATGTTCACTATTTGATAGAGAAATGTGCTTCCTATTCCAACCGATCTCCTTCTTCAATCATGTTTAGTATGAATTCAGCGATAGCGATTGCCATCTCGATAATTGTGTCCTTGAGCTCGATGGCACATTTCGAGATAATCAGGAGTAGCGTTCTTTAAAATCACTACAAGAGATTTTTAAAGTGTCACTTCTACAGTGTACACTAACATCTTACACCATCTCATACTTCATTGTACTTGATCCTGTGTCTGAGAATTCTACTTTTGATGTCTTGTGTATAACAGGATTTCATATTGTTGCATCACGCAACAGATTCATTTGGTTTATGCATGTATTTCACATTTATACGTCCCCAACTGCAGCCTGGAATACTGCTTTCCTCTTATTATCCGTTTAGGAACACAGTAGTGATAAATGCAATCCTGAAAAATACCGAAACATCTCAAGGTGAATGTCGGTCAGTGGTTTTGGTTTTACACAACAGCGCTTGGGTCAGCAATGTGTATTTAACACACATGAATAAGAACACCACATTGAACAAAACGGATACCCGTAGGATGGATATCACGGTAAGTAGTGTCTTCTGAATAGATGAATTTGAATCAGCCAAAACAGCGTACACTATATTTTGAAACTTCACGTGTCGTAGTTCATTTATGTCCCTATTGTCCGAACAACTCGTAGTTTCCATCTACAAGCAAAATGCACGCGCTAAGTATCCCACCTCAGTTCCGTCTGTATTCTTCGTTGTACAAACATTGTTTTGACGTTTGCGTCGTAATTTGGTCGGATTTATAGGCCACGTAATTTGCGTGTACTATTCAATATAGTGACCGGCGACAGAACTGCGGCTGGTACTGTCGAACATCGATGGACTTTTGGAATCAATTCATTATATACTTAGATTAAAACACCCTGGAATAAACCTATGATATACGGACTGCCCCACATCGTAATAGTGATTTAAACGTGATAGATTATTGAATTTCGTGTTTCCGTATCCAACAGGATCATAGAGATGCAATGAAACGCAAACCAAAAATAAAAATATGATTCATCGTTAAGTGTAAATAATCATAACTTTTCCTAGGAATTATTACTTCTCTTCTATTAACATGGATTCGCTTCGGATCTGAAGGAGTTATTTTCGTAGCTAGGCTAATATTCTACCAATATGAGAAGAAGAACATAGGTCATTGCGTGTTCCATGCGTGAAACCCATTCGACTCGTTAAAGAACAGCTTTACTTTTCTCGAAAACGGTAACTTCATTTCAATCACGTTTCAATCATCAGCTGGTGTGCCGGCAAGTGTAAAACTTTATCATTTGCAGTATCGTGGATTCATCAGTCTGAAATCTAAAACACGATTGTATTTGATCTGAATTCAAATGTATGCAACCTCTTTTGCCACCTGACACGGCAAGCTGCCCTGAATCAATTTGGTTACGGTGAAAGACATTCTGACTAGGTAAATTAGACGTACCTGGAATACTAATCGGATTCATTGAGCGAAGAACGCTTCCATGAAATAACATACAGGTTTCACCTACAGAAGCAATTAATCTTGTTCTACGGCATGAGCTTACCGTAATTGGTGAGTCTGCTAGTGGGATGTCATTCATCTCAGTTTCCTTCCGCCAGACACGAGTGTGGTTGACACTCAGGGAAATGAGATCTGTTACCAACTGGATCCGCACTGGTTTATCAGTTAGGAAATCACCTCGTGCAATGAATCCTGCGTTCAATTTCAAAATCATTACTGCAAATTATAATGTATTGATTTATGTTTCATAATAATCCGACAACTGTGTCACATTAACCAAGGTCACTCAATTTTTAACCCAACCAGCCACTACGAATGAAAAATTGCCGGTATGTAGAATTAAAGCAGCTTTAATTTAACGATGTTTTGAGCATAAAGGCTTCATCAGGACTTCATCGAGACAAATATCTTTTGCGTAATTAATTGTGGCAATATTTGTGAAACTGAGAAAAACAGTAACCGGTAACGTCGCACACTAAACATGTATCCACTTGAAATGAAAACAGGAGAAAGACTAGAAGCCTCCTATTCTTGAGTGCAAATAGTGGTGACGAATGCAACACAATGGTACCATCCTAGGATCTGACGTCAGTGTAATTAAAATCCCATATTTTTGGAATATGATGTGGCTGCTTGAGTAAAGAAACCCATCCACAGCAATTTATGTGATTGAAAATTCTAGAATACTCTGTATGAACCACGTCCGAGTGAGCAGCCAGTTGAATTGCTTCAGAATGTTTGGTCATATGCAAGCTAGTAAAGGTAAGAGAAACACTTCCGTCATACGAATTTCGGTCAAGCCTGCTGGAACAAATGAGTCACTTGTTCACGGGATAACTTTATTCATCCCAAAGAAAACAACGGGTTTCACAGGACCACGGAACTTAAATTTGTTCATTTCCTAGTATACTTCATTTTGATGATTCGAATAATCCAAGTCAGATAGTCACTACTCTGACAAGAATTACCAATCTCTAAGGTTTTTCTTTTGAATCACCCTGTTTACAAAACACCGATTCGAAATATTTCGGGTATTTTAAAATAGCAAATTTTGTTATTCACATGTCTCATCATCTAAAATCATGATAAAATATACAGAAAGCTTTCAGCATAAGAAGAACAACTACTCAGCCTAATTTTTGAGCAATAAAATTGTCACATTTTCACTCTGCTTCAGACTGGTGGATTGTTTGCGGACGATACATGGAATGTGACCGTCAATGTTCAATTCAACCAAACCTTCGATTGTTCAAAATATTCCAGACTCGCAATATTATCGTTAACATTAATGGTATTTTGTGAATTGGAGCATCCCATTGATGGTCATGAACAGGCTCTTACCTATGGGTTGAGAAACGTTGTCTTACATTCAGCCCGTGGTGAGTACTGGTCAGAATATTTCTATTCATCACGGTTCATAGGAGGAAGTTATCCTACCGAACCACGCGGTCGCTCCATAAGACAAACCTGTTATATAATCCCAACAATGAGCATTTTTATTATTTGGTTCCTTTCTGGTTTTATATCATATAATTCCTAGCCGATATAAATCGTAAGTGATTTTACACGATTCCGGTCACAGCTTGAAATTTAGTTCTCAGACTTTGTCACCAACCGTGGTAAATTCATCAACTTGCAAGTAAACATGTCCACACTTTTGCGTATTTAGGTAACGGCAAATCCACTCGCATCAGTCATATCTAATAAACCACTCGAAGATGCGAAATCAAACTCACAACCTTATGATTCGTGGACAGCCGATCTGCCGTCTGTGGTCGGGTGCACGACAATGAATAAGGGATCCCTAAGTAACCAGCAGCATTCCAACGCATCGTAACATCAATACATTCTGCCACGTTCATCTCAAATGTGTTTCGATAACTAGCCAAAACCTGGCAGATAGAATTGAAATTTGATGTGTATTATTAACTAAAAATTCTGACCCCTTATAATTGGATTTTAAAGTTGACCGTTGCAAATTCACACAAACTACGAGATTGAATAAATATGCCTATTTTTATGAGAACAGTTGCCATATTTTTCAGACTTCGTCTCTGCGAGTCTGCAATACTCATACAATGGGTTGATTGGTCTGACCCATGGTGGAGGGGATAGTCATCAAATTAAAAATTTAAGATATGGCCAAATTGCGACCATAAATAATATCACACGATGAACCAGTGTAAATCTAATTACAAAATAACACAGTGATTAAAACCTGATGTACCTAACCGATTCCTCGCCATCACCAAGTTATTCGAGTACGTCCTAGTTCATATTGAATAATTTCATAATTCTACCTTTGAACTCCCACGGTATAACTGAATACATTATATCCATTCACATACCCCCACGTCATAAAGATCAGTTTACTGATCTCGTCGATCACAAGTCGGACAAGGTTGGCGATTGCCAGGTGACAACATGGTCATCTGCCTATCCAATTAGCCATTGGCTTTCCACGGCATATGTTACAGATGAATTGCTGGCGAGATTACCTTTTGATTGGCGCCACTGGACTATACTTCTGGGCACAATGAGCGATTTGCACTACATCCGCATCGACATCAAACGAATGGAGGTGCAAGCTTTCGCAGGCACAATTTCGTTCACAACTGATGGACTGGCTTTCTCGGCCATTGGGGAGGTCAGTTTATCAAGCGAATGTTTATCTGCGACACTCACTTACGATTATCATATATTATGTATGGGAAATGCTGAAATTCACACTCATTTACAGGTTTTTCTATGTATGCAACTTGCCGATTTCCCGAATCTGGGCAATATTTCAACTTCAATGAAATTTTTAAAAGAGCGGACACACTTTTATCCACTGAAACAATCGAGTATATACCCAGTTACCATGTCATCTAGCTGAGACTTTAATTCATTCACCACTGCTTCAAAGCCATCATCTTTAGATGTTCACCGCTCAGCACTAAAACAAACGGTAACGTTTGGAAAATCTTTATGAACGTAAGAGATAACAATCGAAGGCAGTGCAACTGAACACTCGTCTGGTAAAAGAGTTTTTTTATTATTTTGAAAATAAAAACAAACCATTCCAGCGAGTCTGAGGCGTCAGACGATAAACTGTGCGCAATCAATTTGTTTTCAATGTGTTCGCGAGATTTTCAACCAATCGATGTGACATCACAAACCCAACAACCTCGGGAGATGGAAGACAGATTTCACTGTGAAAAATCAATGCTAGGTAAAACTTACGAGAGGTTTTCACAAACCGATTGGTTCTTGACGATGAAACAACTTTTCATCACCCCAAACCAAGCAACATGATGAATTTCAATTCCATTTAGTCATAGAACTATCACTTATTCGCATAGAATCAATGAGATGCATTTACTGCAATGCATTTTGTCTCTCCCATATAATTCTCCGTAAAGTTTAAAGCAAATCACGGGGAATTCAGCATGCACATTTATTCTATTCGTGCAACATTTTAGGAAAAGTTCTTCGCGGACCATGAAGGTACATTTACTTGTGTGTTCCGCTGGCCGATTCAAGCTCGCGGAATTCGTATTGTCCCCAAAAGGGACGTGATCAAGCAAAACATTTCCCCTGCATCTATTCGTCTTTACGGAATCAAGCATGAAAGAGATAATTACCAATTCGGTAAGTAAAAATGAATTTATTTGATTAGCTTGCAAATAATTCTATATCACACGACTTACTTTTTATCAAAATTGAGTAGTACTGGTAGAATATTTTGGATAAACATCTCTAAACTCTCAAAACTTTGTTCGGATTACTGCAAGGTTCCTAGCGAAATTTTTCTCCAATCCAACTCGTTTAAATAAACTCCTATTTAGAAGAAATTATGGAATATGCAGATACAAGCTGTGTCTCACCTCGTAGACTTGTTGGACAACATAACAGCGATTTGTTGAAACAACCAGGTTACGTATAATCCTTCCTCAATCTGTGCCACGATTACAGCAAAATACATTTTGATTCGAATCTTTTTTGCATTCAGATCCCTGTGTCATTCCTTTCAAGTTCGAGCCACGTGCACCGAGACTCCCCAAATCACTGCTGGTATTCAATCGTTCTTATATCTACGCCAAAAATGCACTGATTGTCTGCCAACCAGTTCCGGGAATGGGTACATTTTTACAGGCAAAAATGACATGTGCCTGTGCCTATGAGGAGAATCCGCAGATATGGTTTGGTAGGTTAGAATCAAGTTACTAATTGTGATGAAAATATATATATATATATATATATATATATATATATATAATTCTCGACTTTGAATACCGCGATTGATAAACATATTGTTTTCTAGATATTGGTCCCATGGTCTCGCAAGTTCTGACGTATCAACTTGTGGACAAACTTTTATTTGGATTGGGACCGGAGCGCCACAGTCTTGTAATCACTACAGGTCTACAAAAACCCTGGATAGGATTGACTTTCCGAGGTTATCGGGATTACATCACGGACAAACATCATATAAATGCCACTTATTTACCTTGGGACGAGTCTAACACATTCAACAAGAACTTGACTGGCGATATGTGTGCAACATTTTCAGTGGGAAATTGGAGCTGTGAGTATTTACTTTGTCTGACTCGAATTTCTCGATAAACTCTCATATTGTTTTGAGCATAAGAAGTTCACGAGTATGGAAACGTTCTCGTAGAACGAAGACAGTTATTTGAATTTTGCTGCCTTATCCATAGCATCAGAACAAACAACCAATAAAGTTCAATCATCTGTCAGTAAATGCAACCCAACCGTAGCTGGCGAGTAAGCCATAAGGAAGAAAGTAAGTGAAAATGCTCAGCTACACGTTGATATTTCTTGTCAGTCGGCAAGCAGAATAACTTATCAGCCAAATCTGTTCGAGCCGAAGCACGATTATTGACCAATGCCAAATGGGTGTATGGCTTTTAGGGAGAAAAATACTGTTTGTTTGCCTGCGTATTAGTATGCTTGTGTAACTCAAATAATCCGTTTGTCACCACGTTGGTAGTGAATGTGTTCACATTAGAATTCTTTATCAAATATGCGGTCTCAAATTTGCAGCTCATTCAAATAACTTGAGCTTATTAATAAACATCTCATCTATGTTTCCAAGTGTGCTACGATGGCATCTATCATCAAAACCAGAAGGTCGGTGTTTGGGCACGAGAAATCGGTGATCGACGTCATTCATCCAATTAATCAATACCGGTCTACATCTACTGGAGTTCGAGAAACAGCAACACACAATTGTCTGCTTGGCTATTGTCGAATTTCGTATCCATATCCGTTTGAATAGACTTGTGCTTTTGCGAATTATTTACTTGTGTAACATTCGTATACAAAAGCTACTCTGTAGCCACTTGCACCCTGAAAAAGACGTTGAAAGTTACCTTCCTTCGCCCCGTTCTATTGATTATCACGATTGCACATTTGAACTAACGCACTTTAAATTATTCACGGTAGTATATTCCTCGTTCAGTCTATTAGTGACTTCCATACATGGACGCAATCCAGTCAATCAATTATTTCTGAATCTATCATTATGAAAGAGAACCTTACCTTAAATGTCTTCGTCACAAGATCCTAATTTGATGTACATTCTCAATGTGACAGCCGTTCTTGATCACCCTTTGTCAGTGATTCTGACTCTTTTTTCTCATTTGGTAAAAAAATCTGTGAAATTCGATGTGAATTTATGCCAATCTTGTTCAAATAATTTGTTTTTGACAGCCCTCTTTTATCCAATTTCCAACATTGCCTATCGAGTGCAGTCAATCGACTCGACTTCATCTTCCTGTGTCAGCATCAATCAATTTTATGAGCAATTTTACGTAAATAAACGCGATTGATCAGGAATCCCACATAGACATGTACCCGTCACATTCCATGTGGAATCCTTGATTCAGAGCATTTCAATTCTCTTAGGTTATACTCTGAATTAATGTTTCACAAATGAAGATCCTGCATGTTTCATTCTCAAACGAGCACTTGACAATTAATCGGAGATCGTGCAGTCCCATAAACAGTTGGTTGTAAACCAGTAGCCAGTGGTTTGCCGTTGTAAGCAAAGAAACCAGTCTGCTCTGCTCATGAAAACACTAGGGTCACATATGTACAGCAACACATCAGCTCACGTGTTGTACTCCGTCCTCCTAATGAGGATGGCGTGAGAAATATCCCCGTGCTTTATAGTTTTACCGAGATTGGGACATAATTTTACATCCAAGTTAGATCGACATCTGAAACATTCTATACATTTCTCAATCAGTGAGTAAATCCGATGGATGAAAAAGAAAGCGTCCGTCGGGAACTAAATGGGAACTGATGATGATGTTCATTATACAAGTACTTGATACAGTTGCAGCAATATTTTTGATGGACCGTGTTCAATACACTATTAGGCTAGTCTTGAAAGTTCAGTATGTGAGTAGTTATAAAAATTGGCAAATAGTATGGACAACAAAAACAATGTAATAACTAGAAACAGGGAGTCTGCATATTCAGCGAACGTAAGCAAACGTCTCATATCAAATCAGAATAACTGTATTCGTCACAGTTATCCGTACAAAGCTTTGAAGACGGCAATTTACGCAGGAAAGTAGTCAGGTAACGTGATCCAAACTGAAACCCATACGCCGGAGATCTTTTGAGCAATCACACTCCTGTTGTGTATTTAGCAACAACAATACTAGAAATATAGAGTAATCTGCAATGATCTGCAAATGATCTCTAGTCAAAAGCATGCCGAGTTATGCACTCATTAGTCCGGGAGATATCACATTGGAACAACAGAACATCTACACATGAACCAGTAGATATGATTAATCATGGAAGTAACGCAAAGTCGGTAGACCACCGTTGGTTGTTATTCATTTTTATCCCCAGGAGCTTGATGGATCAGATTATTTGAACAAAACAGTCACACCGTCTTTGCAGAAGAATAAAAACTTGAAGGGAAAAATATGCACCGTGTACATCCCCAGGAGATTATTGTGAAAATATAAAGATGGAAGTGTTCAGCACTTGCATAACTGCGGTTTGTTTGTACACAACGACATCATCAGAGTACTTCAGTCTTAAGCCGGAGTGCTCGCAGACACTCCACGGATGCAATTCAACGATGAGTAGAGAGACGGGAGGCTCCTTTGGAACACTCCGGAATGACTGATCAAAAGGTTTGGGAAAATATTCCACTAATTTGGTAAGCTGCACTCTGGATAGCCAGACAAGCAACTGGTTAGTTTATCTATAAACTGCAAAACTTCGTCATGGAATTTCTCACATGATTTCAGGCATGTTCGAACAAGCTTATTACTTAAGTTAGGCGCAGTATCTTTGTGGTTATTAGGAATTCCGTTATGGCTGGTAACTTGGTGGTTTTTGGAGTAGCAACATTGCAGACAAACCTCCTTTATTTGGTAATAATGCAGCTACTCATATATGGATTTCAGGTGAACGTCGCTGTTTTTGACAAAGAGCGGGCTCTAGACTAGCGGATGCAGGAAATAGACCGACCGCACTAGAAGTTGTGAGTACTGTAGCCTAGCACAGCATTCCTGAATATCGTCACTGGAATTCTCTCTACCTTTGTAATTCCGCAACATGAATAAAAACTGCAGGCGTTAGTTGATGAAGGAATGAGTGCAGCGTTTGTATCATGAACGTCAACGTGGAGGCTTGGCTGTTCCTTACTTTGTCCACAGGTTCACCCAAAGACAATAATATTTGGGATACAAGTGTCGACTGGCTTGAATGTGGAGTCCGTACGGATCTCAGTATACCGATTTTCAGACACTGTCCATTATGGACAAAAAAAAGGGCACTCTGACGAATGACAAAAATATTCCGAGGCTCGGAAGAAGTTTGGTTTCAGGCGGACTGTAATCTATTGCCTCCTCGATGGTAGGTCATGGATATTTCTTTAACTGCTTTAGACGCTGTACATGAAGAGAACATCGAAGTTACGGGCTCAGAAGTTGTAAACACCGGTGTGCCACAGTAGCTACTCGATACGGTCAAGAAGCACATGCGCAAATCACATTTTACGGTAAGTTCATACTTCGAAATCAATTATCTTTAAACTGAGGAACCTGAAGACAAACACAATGGTAACGAGTCGAATAAATGGATTTGAACGAATAATCTAATGTGCAATTCTGGTAAGTACAATTTCAATGACGACTGCAACACCCTTTACGGTCTTCCCTAAGTGTTCATCCGTAGATGGACTAGATATACAAGGTATAGGCCAGCTTTTAGAATCAACAGCGGACTGAAATCTAGGTATGGATCTATTAGGGTGCCAATTTAGCAATTGGTCGGGGATAGAAACGAGGGTCGGTCCACCGGTCAGGTGCTTGAGCAGGTGGAGGTAGTGCCAGGAAATAAAATATAGTCCGCTTTCATTGGTCAGAATGGAGTAGTCTGATAGGTTGAGGGGGAAGAAATTTTTCCACCTTCTGGAAGAATTGTGTGCACCTCCTTCACGGTGATTAGTTCCCAAGAAAAGAGAACACTATTAGGGCCTCACTTTGAACGTTTACCCTTATTTTTCCATTCCTTGCACTGTCTAATTGATGGTCAGAATTAGGACCAAGACTCCTTTCGTGCTGACAGGGTTACAACGCCTGTTAAACAGTATGATTTGCAGGTCCCAGAGAAATTATAAGAACTTAAGAAGAAAGCGATAGTGAGCACACTGACTCGCACTTCAAATTGCGTGCATTGAGAACAGCTCTCGACATGGTACAAATTCTCAAAGTCGGTAGCATGTATTTTACGGTTCAAACAGCATCTCCTTATAAATGAAAAAGTCTAGTCGGGCTTGATGGGGCTTTCAGGTTCCTCAACGGCGTCAGAGATCAAGAGCAGTTGTAAAGGGATGCTTCAACTTGTTCGCGGAGAAGAATTCCTACTGGACGTCGAGAGCGCATCTGGTGTCAGTGCGTTTGTGAAGGTACAGATGAAGGGAAACCTCATGAATTGACCCAATCATGTTATCAATAACGAACTGGTATGCGTAGGTTGGCGGCCACAATGATCGGATTTATATAAATTGCTAAACATTCTGTGGTTCTGTCAAACAAGCATCTTGTAACGGATTCAGTCATTCGACATTATGACATGCTAGAATTCCCCGTTTGATTGCATGAAAAAGCTTGCTAAGATTCGTCAAAGCTTTTGTATTTGACAGGGTATAGTTGCAGTTCGTCGAGTTATTAGTAGGCCCTAAACGTGTAGAAGAGAGCCGGCTCCGCCGTATTACCAACAAATGGTACCCTTAATATCGTATTGCTCCCGATTCTCTGGGTATGTATTTGCTCAGGTTGGTGTCGAATACTTCAGACCCTTCTATGTTAGGTGTGAGGGAATGGCAGAGAAACGTGATTATTGTTTATTTACGTACCTAAACTTAAGGACAGTACATATCGAAGTAACTCACTCGCTTATCAGAGACTCCTTGATCCAGGCTCTAATATGATTCACTGCTATGAGAGGTCATCCAGAAGTAATATGAAGTGATAATGGTAGGAATTTTAAGGAAGCGCAGGTCTCAGACACATCGCACAAAATGGGGTTTGCAGTTTTTGTTAGGACGTGAGGTAGAGTAGCATTTGGTCCACGTGATGCAAGTCATAAGGTAGGCTTTTTTGAGAGGTTGATACGGAATATTACGAGCAATAGCTCATAGTCAGCATACGACAGACGAGATCCTTCCGATATTTCTGATCGACGTTGAAAGAATCATCAACGTTTGACCGTTGCTTCCTCTGACGGAGAATGCTAAGGATTTAGAGTTGTCAACACCCAATAAGTTTTAGCTACTCAGTTGCAATAGGTAAGTTTTCTTTTATTTTCTATCTGAAACGGGAGTCTATCTGAGCTTATGAACGATGATTCATACTATTTCATTGACCGGACTCTGCTTGCGTACTATATTGCAATGATATTTTCTCCACTTTTTGTCTATGATGATATCTTACAGAGTGTTTTCTTATCAGCCTTTGGGATGTCCTTGTACTCGAAATAATTGTCTATTCTACCTCCATCCATTTCATGTAAATATTCAGACGATATCGGTTTTGGTTGTGAGCCATCCTTATAAGAAGATATTTCCAGAACTTAAAGAGGACTAGTCGCCACTTATATTGGTCCTCTTCCCGCTTCCAGAGGCTGAGTGCTTCTAAATGTCACGTTGT